CAACACCATCATCATCATCATCATTATCATCATCAACATCATCATCATCATCAGCATCAGCATCAGCATCAGCATCATCATCAGCATCATCATCATCATCATCATCATCATCATCATCATCATCATCATCATCATCATCATCATCATCATCCGCATCCGCATCCGCCTCTGCCTCCGCCCCCGCCTCCGCCTCCGCCTCCCTTTCGCCCCGCCCCTCTCCTTTGGACCTCCAGGTCGACCCGCTACTCCGTCTCGCCCGAGTTGGTGAAGACCGAGTCGCCGCACTCGCACCGGGCGCGCGACGGCCTCGCGCCCTGAGCCTCGCCGCTAGAGCCGCCTGGGGACAGCCTCGCGGCCACCGTCCGCCTCGCGATGGTCGCGCCGCTGCGGGCCACCGCAACGCCCGCGTCCCGCCTGCCCGACCAGGGGGGGAGGGTGCAACGTGTCTGCACGTCCCTGGGGTATCCATAGGCCTCCAAGAGGCTAGCAGAAGCCTCGAGAGGCCGGGGGGGGAAGGGAGGGGGAAGGCAAGGGAGAGGGGGAGGGAAAGGGGGAGGGGGAGGGGGGAGGGGAGGGGGAGGGGGAGGGGGAGGCGAGAGGAGGGGGAGAGGAAGGGACGGAGGGGGAGAGAGGGAGGGAGGAAGGGAGGCAGGGGAGAGAGGGAGGGAGGGAGGGAGGGAGGGCGGGCGGGCGGGAGGGCGGGAGGGCGAGAGGGCGGGAGGGCGGGAGGGCGGGAGGGAGGAGAAGGACGAGGAGGAGGAGGAGGAAAAGAACAAGGAAGAGGAGGAGGAGGAGGAGGAGAAGGAGGAGGAGGAGGAGGAGGCGGAGGAGGATCGAGCACTGGAAGTACCACGTCCGAAGTCCGAAAATCCACCCAGGCATCGGGTCGTGCGTTACCCCCACGCACCACGACAACTACTGGAACGTGGTGCAAAAGAAACAATGATCTCCAACAAAACTCAACCAGGCGTACACCGCGGCCAATTCTTGCCACTTACACACGTGGCGCCTTTCGGGGAAGGGCCAAGGCACGGGGCAGCAAGCCCCACCACGCGACTGGATCCGACCGTGCACTTCGAACACGCGCAGCACGCTACGACCAGCCCTTTCCACGACAACATGTCAGAATGAGCGGGGATGATCCAAAGCCCCATCCCCGCCATGCCCCCGCCCTTGAAATCTAGACTGCGGTCGTCACTCGCGGGCTCTCGTTGGCTGGATAGCTCGGTGGCCATTGCGGCGGCGGCGGCGGCGGCCGCCGCGGCCACCAGCTGCCGCGTGGATTCGCATCGAAGAAGCGCCGGGCAAACCAACGCTGAACAGCCGCTGCTGGGCAAGATCTCGAGACCCCCTTGGTTCACAAGCTTTGCCACGCTGTTGCGGTCCATGCGACAGCATGCTTCCATCGCCAGTGGCCGTGACCGCCCGAGCACCCAAACTCGCGGGAGTCCACTGCGACTGGCGGCTGCTGTGCTGGGCCGCAAGCGGGCGCACCCCCCTGCTCGGCCAGCGCTCAGACATTTTCTCGGCGCGTCGCTGCAACGCGCGGGCCCAGAAAGAAGACGGCTGCAGCGCGCCCTCCCGCTCGAACTGGCAGCCCTGGACGCGCTCCGCCCCGGGCACGCGGACGTCGACTCCAGAGCTCGCCAAGAAGTCCGCCCACTGATCCCCCGGACATTTAAAAATGTCGCAGTCCTGGCCGATGACCACACCCTGTGCAAGGTGAGGGCGGCTGCCGCTGGAACTCGGGCGGCCCCTGCCCCCTGCCCCCCCACCGCCGCCAGCACCCCTGCGCGTCGCTCCTCGGGGGTCGCACGGCGGTGGCCCCGCGCCGTCGCCTCCGCGACGGGAGACTGGTGGTCCGCGACCACGATGGCGGGGGCCTCGGCGACGCGCAGGCCCTGATACGCCGCGAGCCTCGCGGCACGCGGCACGAGCTGGCTCGGGCCCAGCACTGCGCCGAAACTGGCTCGAACTGGCAATCCGCCGCCCGAGGGCCCACACCGCGCGCCCTGCGACGCCCTTCGAGGCCGGACAGGGTCGCGCCCTGGACACCATGGGCGAGCCTCGATGGCCTGCAGCCGCCGCGAAGACGCAGAGGCGCCGCCACTCCAGAACGCCCGCAAGGCCCCCTGCAGCGGGGGCGCGGACAGGTTTGGCACTGCCGCGCGCACGGCCGCGCGCCAGATACGGACGGGCCCCGCGGCGGCGCTCAGGCGCTGGATGAGGCGTTAGCGCCGCCATCCCCGCGCCCCCTTTGGACAGCGCGCTTGACACCCTCAGGGCACGCGGGCCACGGGGAAGGCGCAGCAGCGCACCTCGCAGGGCCTAGCCCTGAGAGAGCTGGGGCCTCTCACCCGGGCCCACGGCGGCCCTCACCGCTGAGCCGATATGATGCACGCTGGAAAAACAGACAAACGTTTGCTCGTTTGCTGATCCCCCGCCCACCCCAACCTACCAGCGCCATGCAATCTTACACTCAGGGCTGGAAGCGAATTTCCCTTAGCTATACTGAAACTCGCCTGGAGCCACTCCCGCGCACGCTGCCCGAGACACCACAGCAGCTGATTCGACCACTCTGTCCTGGCGAAGTTGCCCGGGACAGGACGGACGCACGCTCTGTGCCAAAGAGGGCGGCTCGGGGGAACAATCCAGCGAGCCTCATTGTCATGATCTGTGGCCGCGCGCACTTCCTGCTCGCTTCTCCAGGAAAAGATGATAGCGCCTGGTTCTGCGAAGAGTGGAGATCCGAGCATTCGCTCGGATGAGCCGCTCTACGAATACCGACGTTGCATCCCCGAAGTACTGCGCACGGGGGCCGTCGCATGCAAAGCGCCGCCCCTCTGACAGAGGCCACGTCTCACACGCCACCCTCGAACGAGCACTGCAACGCGTCAGGGGGGGCCCCAATGATGTCGGCTTGAAGCGCGCGGGGAAATTTAGCTCGGCATCGCCTTCCACGATTTCCATTTCTGTTACAGATACTTTCCAATTATCTATAATGAAGCTGGAATGGCGCATGGCCTCCTCCCAGCGCGGGCGGAAGGCGAGCCTCTCCCCTTGAAATAACAAAGATGCCATCCTTCATGCGACTGTAAATTACGATGCCATTGTTTTCCGCGCTGCCTGGTTCAGGGGGGAAATTGACCTCGCAGAAGGCAAAGAAAGCTGCGTCTGCTACGCCCCCCGGCATGTCACGGCCCTGCCCAGAGTCCACCTTCACCTCATGCACCACGTCTGCTTCGGCATCAGAATCAACATACTGGTGACTCAACATAAAAAGTATTGCATCCCGCACTAGTTCCCGGCACTGCGGCTCAGCTAGCTTCGAGGCCCCATCGGCTAGAACTCTCTGGTCGCCCGACACGTAGAAGTCCATGGCGCCTGCTTTGACCAACATGCCCCCAGGTTGAATCATGATTTCGCGCAGCTTCTCTACGAGATCCCACGCACCTCGGAGGACGCGCGGGTAGCATGTCAGAGACGGCCGGATTGCCCGCGACACCCATGGGCCCAATGCTCCGAATGGGCATCTGCGGCAACAGCGCATGACTCGCTAGGGGAGTTCTGCATCTTTGTGGGCATTGGCCGTAGCTTGCGTTGGGGTCGCGACCGATTCGAAACTGATGGTCGGCGACGCTGGCTGCATGCGCGCGCGAGCTGACTCGTCGCCCATGGCTGTCGTAATCCAATTGACAAGAGCGTTGAAATTGTGCTGGATTGGCTGCACCACGACATTGAGAGCACCCTGGTGGTCGCGATGCGCTGGTGGCACTGCGCGGCTCTTTGCGGGCGCGCAACCAACGCGAGGAGACAAAATGGAACCGCCGCCCTCGTCGCACTCGGCTCGGGCGACGCCGCGCGCGCGCGAGCGTCAACGCAGCCTTCACCAGGGCGGCAGGGCAGGCCAAAACCTCTTGCAAGCGGATTCGCGCCGCTGCAAAGCGCGAAAAAATTGCCTGACAACGACGCTGTAAAGCCTTACGCCCACCGTTTAATATGCCAGAGAAGCCTCTCGCGGTCGCACGGCGGCGCGCCCTCGACGGGGCGCGAAAACGATGGAGAACGAGGTTCATCGGGTGGCAGACCACTCCTAGAGAGATACAGCCACTTCTATTTGTGGATGCACCTGGGAAGTGCTAGCCCGCACTGGTTCCAAGCGAGGCAATCTAACATCTGCGACTGAATGTTTGCCGCGGAAGCGGCCCAGTAGCCACGCCACCGGCCACGGGATGCCCAAGTCCTGCCCGACGCGCTTCGCCGCGCGAGTGGCCCAATCAGCTACGCGCACCAAGCCGCGCTACTAATCCGAATCAATATTTCCCAACCAGTCACGGCGCGACGAACGTGCAGCGAGTCCGGAGAAGTCCGCCATCACCAGCCGATTGGGCGGATCCACGGCGATTATCTACACTGCCTGCTTCCACCATGCTCTGCGGTTTTGCCGTTGCCTGTCTCGCCACCGCTTTGGTCTTGCCCACCTTTTCTTTCTTGCCTTCCGGCGAGTGGCCCACGCCTGCACCGCTGCCCCTGCGCCCTCCTTCGCCTTTGCCTGTATGCGAAGACGTGGCCCGTTCCATGGTGGATGCCCTCGCTTCTGCCTCTGGCTCTGCCCTGGCTCTCGGCTTCGCCCCGGGGCTGGCCCCGCGCGGCGCGCCTGAAGAACGAGGGGCCATCTGCCCCCCAGGTCTGCCGTTTTCCGCGCTCACGTCGACGACGTTCGCGCCCTCGCAATCCGGAGCTTGGACCATGCCCTCAGACCGGGCGCGGTTGCATTCGACAAGGGCCCCCAGGTTGCCCGACGCCCGCATGCCCTTCGCCGCCAGCCCCACGCTGCCCGCGGCCCTGGCCACCAGGCCCTGGGCGCGCTCGACGGCTTGGGCGGCGAGATCCCAGGGGCGACGTTCTCCCACCTCCTGGATGAAATCGGCCTTTCTCTTTTCAATGGCCTCCTGTTTCCGATCATCGGCCTCCACGTTCACCGCGGCCCGCCAGACGGTCTCCGCGCGCGGCTTCTTGGCCGCGGCCTCCTCGATCGACGGTGGGAGGTCAGAAGAAGCCGGGTGGAAAATCCTACTCCAAAGTATTGGCGACACCGGCTCGGGTCGCCCTGGGAGTCTTCACATGTTCGACGAAGTGGGCGCAACTGGTGAGGTTCTTCAGACTAGCAGCCCCTCCCGCGCAGACTTTACGTTCCAATGTGTCTCGAACTTCACGGCAAAACAAATCTAGCACCTCCCGCGCGCGCCCCCCCGCGGCGCCCGCAGGAACCGCGAGCGCGCAATTTGCCTCCGCCGCGGCCGCGGCTGCGAACCAGCCATTCGACAGGGACTTCGCGCTGAAGGGCGCCACCCCGCCAAGGGCGCACCCAGACCCCAGCGCGGCAATGCTCTCGGCGAGCGTCGCCACGCGTT